CAAATCCAATGCCATAATTGATATATCATGCATCCGAAAAGCACAATTTCAATTCCATGCAGAAAAAAAAAATGGATATGCTGCATTTTAAATATAGCAAATAATTTTTTTTCTTCGTATAAAGTCACTGGTAAACTTGGAGATATATTTTATTGCATGTTGCATATCCCAGTAAATCTGTTTCACCTTTAAATCTGCAGCTCTCCCTACTTCTCTCTGTGCTCTTTTTAAATGATTTATGAACCTCTTTACTAATATAATGATGCCAGAAACAAAATTTCAAGATATTTAGAAGCTCTGCGGTCCGATTCTGTCTGTTCACTAAGAAAACATGTTAATTTTAACCTGTGACTGGAAGTTATGGTCCTCTGTGAAGCCAAGATTTTCTTAACTGGTTTTCTCAAGCTTCTTGCGTTATAATACTAAATTGATTAAACTTACAATCTGTTGCCATTTTCAGCTGAAAAAGCTCTGTATGTCTAACTAACTGATTTTTTCGGTGGCATCTCTAATTTTTTTCACCAACCCATCTCCTAAGTGTTACCTAAGTGTCTATTGAAGTAGCTGCTGGTTAATATTCACTGAGTGCTATCACACCGAGAAGCAGGGCATGGGAGCAGTGTGAGAGAAAGAAAAAAAAAAACACGGACTCAAAATGCTCGGAACACAGATAGTGGTTGCTGCCCCTGGATTGCTGGGGTTCCAGCCCCGGTGCTGACGGCTCGGTTCTAGTGCCCGGTGTGTTTCCACTACGTGCTGCACTGTATTCAACCAAAATCCTGGACGATTTTGAAATTCCCCCTGGACATTTTTTTAGGTATGAAAAGCAGGACATGTCTGGGTAAAAGAGGACGTTTGGTCGCCCTACTTTATCTAAAGAACACTACCATGGACCTTGTCTTTAACTTCTGTTTGCCTATAACAGGTGTAATCCGAGCTGGAGTTCTCCCAAAGTTTTATTATTGCTGTTGTGCCAAAAACCATAATAATAATAATAATTGTGGACATTGAGAACCAATGTCCATCTTTCATCTTCACATGATAACTGGGGAGGAGAATGCATTTGCTCATAAAACAGCTGTGAGATCTCTCTTCTGTGCTCTGCAACCCCCTTTCAGCCTACTTGCTCCTGATGTCTATTCGCTGCTA